ATCATTAGTACACTCAATCTTCGATCTGACAGCACTCTGTACCCATTTGTATCCGTCCTTTGCATTTTTGGCTGCCCACTTCTTGTGTATTTGTGGACATCTTCCTGCCCCTCCTTAAACTGTCTATGTCATTCAAAAACACTTTCTTTCGTCATGAAATGTTCACCATAAGCCTGTTGTAACAGAGCTAAAGTTTTACTTGCACTTTTGCCAATTTTTACACATGTTAATACGCTGCTCCAGATTCCTGTCACTCATTTTCTTCGAACAGTGCAACGCACATATGTGTTATTTATTCTGCTACTCTGTAAAGACTGAGTCAACTGGTCTGCGACCCAGACGAGTGCAAGCTGACCCCTGAGGAAGTCACGTGATCGGTGACGATACACGTGGGGAGGAGCTTTAGTAACAGTGTTAGTGCGTGCATGGAACAGTTTGTAGTGATGAAATTTCTTGCTAACAAAGGCGCAAAACCTGCAGATATCTACAGAAGACTTCAAGAACAGTACAGTGATAGGACACTCAGCCACAGTAAGACATTTGAATGGTGTAAACTAGGGGTCTCCAAACTTTCTAAACAAAGGGCCATTTTATTGTCCTTCAGACTTTAGGGGGTGTGACGGGAGCCACTTTGGATGGGGGGCCCATGGAACCGAGCTCACTTTGGAGAGGTGGGGAGACCCCTGTCTCAGCTCCCCATATCCCTCTTATGTGTAAGTCACCCTGTGCCTGTTAGGGGTAATGGGTTATCTGTCCTAATATTGTGTAGACATGTCTAGGAGATAGGTGGGATAGGGGGTTGTGGTTTGTTTGGTGTTATGAGGTTGCATCCCATTGTTCTAATTTTCGTCTTGCTTGGGAGCAAACTATTATGGGATGTATGTGTTTATGTGTATTAGCTTAGTGGGGGGTTGTCTCCAGCAGCCCTCCCTCCAGATTGGACTGTCTGCTGGAGTGAAGTTTGAATACCTGTGTGTCTCTTGTTACTAAATGTAGATTGCCCCACCCTGTGACATTATGCAGGGAGGGGGGGATTTGTCCCTTGAGTGTCTATATCTTGTATCTGTGTTCAAATAAACTAGTCTACTTTCTGGCTTACTTCAAATCTGTGGTGTCTGTTGTCGGTGTTTGGACCGGAAAGCGGTATTCTAACGGAGGTTCCATTACAGGGGGGCCAGACTGTAGCCAGCGGGAGTGGAAATTTTCCAGGATCAGTGGTAGTAAACATTGCAACATTTGGTATAAAGGAGAGGAATAGTGCCCCATCATTGGGTGACAGGAGAGCCAACGGGCTGCATACATCATGGGTTTTGTCCGAGGCCAGGGATTTTATAATGGCATTTCATCTTGTTAAATGTAAGTGCAATTTTAATAAAGCTACTTGGTATTTTAAACACTATGGAGGGTCCCGTTGTTCTGTGAGTTCCACCCGACAGATCATCGGTTAAAGGAATATTCTTACACCAGCGTGCCATGGAGGAGAGAGAGAGTCCTATGATCTACAGAGACTCAACCATGCAGCTCATTTTTGTTCAAGTATCGTATTGTGCTCCTTGAAACAACCTCTCTGTCTTTTTTCTGAGCAGCCTGAATTTCTCCTAAGGATACCTGTGGGGTTTTCTTTGTATCCCGAACAATTCTTCTGGCAGTTGTGGCTGCAATCTTTCTTGGTCTAACAACAACAAAGTAAAAATTCTTAGCTCAACTTACTAGCCAACCTGCAACAAACCGAATTCTCCTAACAGTTAACATTAAAATCATGCGTAAGCTGCAGAGGCCACTTCACAGCACCCCAGTATTATCTGTAGTCCTAATTTTGAGAGCCTCCATGGTTGGAGCACATACACTATATTGCCAAAATGATTGGGATGCCTGCCTGTACACTCACATGAACTTTAATGGCATCCCTGTCTTAGTAAATAGGGTTCAGTATTAAGTTGGCCCACCCTTTGCAGCTATAAGAGCTTCAACTCTTCTGGGAAGGCTGTCCACAAGGTTTAGGAGTGTGTCTATGGGAATGTTTGACCATTCTTCCAGAAGAGCATTTTTGAGATCAGGCACTGATGTCAGACGAGAAGGTCTGGCTCACAGTCTCCTCTCTAATTCATGACTAGTGCACCCGAGATAGGTTCATCCAGACCCCACTACACCACCGTTACCCTTTACCCTTCCATACCAATCCCCCTTACTTACTATACTTACAGAAAACACAGCACCAATTTTGGAGTAAAATGGCCAGCGCGGCCTTTTATTAACAAATCAAGTTTAAACACATCAACCATTCCTTATAACAGAAAACATAAAGAGTTGTCGTTGGTCTTTGAAGGCACCCCCAAAATGATCCGAAATGCACCTGCGGACAACCATATTCCACTAGGCCTCCAGCCGCAACCAACCAGCTCGGAGACAACCATACCGTCCGCAGTGCAGCACCACCACCTTCCAGTTAAACCTCGGTTAACTGGGAATGTTCCCGGGCACACCATACCAACGATGGGTCCCACACCATTTTGTACCTCCAAGATAAGAACCGCCTCCAAAGACCAACCACCGCCCAGGAACCAAAATAACCCCCCCCCCAGGAGGAACACAACATTCACCAAACAGGGCGGGCGGGAGGGAAGCTCTCTCTCCCACGTCCAGCTCCCAACTGACGCCCCTCCCCAGAACACCCCACCCTAAAGTGCAGGAGACCCCACCTACACTCTCCTCTACCAACCAGATCCCCCAGCTGTCCTTTACCAACTCTAAACAATCATTAACCCTCACACGTCTTCCTTCCCACTCTGGGCCTAGTCATGCCTGCCCTTCGCTAATTCTTTTCTTCTTTTATCGCTGCGGGCAATTCTTTCCAAAGGTGTTCTATCAGACTGAGGTCAGGACTCTGTGCAGAACAGTCAATTCCTTAAAGCCAAACTCGCTCATCCATGTCTTTATGGACTTTGCTTTGTGCACGGGTGCGCAGTCATGTTTGAACAGGAAGGGGCCATCCCCAAACTGTTCCCACAAAATTGGGAGCATGAAATTGTCCCAAATGTCTTGGTATGCTGATGTCTTAAGAGTTCCCTTCAGTGGAACTAAGGGACAAAGCCCAATTCCTGGAAAACAAACCCCACACCATAATCCTTTCTCCACCAAACGCTACACTTGGCACAATGCAGTCAGGCAAGTACTGTTCTACAGGCAACTGCCAAACCCAGACAGGTCTATCAGATTGCCAGACAGAGAAGCGTGATTCATCACTCCAGAGAACATGTCTCCACTACTCTAGAGTCCAGTGGTGGTGTACTTTACCATTGCTTCCGACGCTTTGCATTGCACTTGGTGATGTGCAATGCTCGGCCATGGAAACCCATTCCATGAAGCTCTCTATGCACTGTTGTGCTAATAAATAAAATAGTCGATCGTGGAATATTCTGTAGCAAGGAAATTTCAAGGATGGACTGGTGGCAACCTATCACGGTACCACGCTTGAAATCACTGAGTATCCTGAGAGTGACCCATTCTTTCACAAATGTTTGTAGAAGCAGTCTGCATGCCTAAGTGATTGATTTTATAAACCTGTGGCCATGGAGGTGATTGGAACACCTGAACCCAATTATTTGGAGGGCTGCACCAATACTTTTGGCAACATAGTGTATGTAATAATAGAGAGATTGAGGGCAGGTATGCCTGGAGGGAGCTCACCCCTCCTTACAGTCACAGGGGCACACTGGACACCCATCAAACAGTACAATGGTAAAAAAGGTGTCCAGTGCACCCCCTCACCAAATAACCAACGGTACAAACAAACGCATGTCAAACAACAACAACAAAGAAATATTCCCAGCTCAACTTACCAGCCAGTCTGCAACAAACCAAATGTTCCTGTCTAACAATCTTTCTTGGTCTACCTGACCTTGGCTTGGTATCAAGAGATCCTCAAACTTTCCACTTCTTAATGAGTGATTAAGCAGTACTGACTGGCATATTCAAGGCTTTGGATATCTTTTTATATATTTTTTCCATCTTTATAAAGTTCCATTACTTTGTTACGCAGGTCTTTTGACAGTTCTTTTCTGCTCCCCATGGCTCAGTGTCTAGCCTGCTCACTCAAAATTCATTGACTGTTTATACACAGGCACTAACTGCAATTTAAAAAGCCACAGATGTGGTAAATCATGCCCGCCTCCAGGACTTCTCCAGGGTGTCACCCATCCTCTGGAACTCCCTGCCCCAACCCATCAGATTATCACCTACTCTCCTCTCCTTTAGGCGCACCCTGAAAACCCACCTCTTCAGGGAAGCCTACCCCACCCCCTACTAACTTGCCAACCGCCTCCACTCTTCCTACCACTCCATCCCAAACAGCTATCTCCTCCTGTGCCACCATCCCCTCCCTCCTAGATTGTAAGTTCGAAAGAGCAGGGCCCTCGATCCCCTCATGTTTTGCATTGTATTGGTATTGTTCTGTCACATGTTCTGTCCCCCTTTGTAATGTACAGCGCTGAGCGAACTATTGGCGCTTTATAAATACTGTATAATAATAATAATAATTACCCTTTAACTGACATTTTAACCCGTGTGTGGCACCTTGCATGTCTGTACCAAGGCCAAACATTCCAGGGAATGGAAACTTTTGATCTGGGCCATTTGGGTATTTTCTGTTATAATTTTGATTTAAAAAGGAGCCAAACAACTATGTGATAATAAATGGCTTCATATGATCACTATTCTTAAAAAGTTTTTGGGCATGATCAGTCATATTTTTAATATCAAAGCCAAAATTTCACACTTTCTGCCAGGGTTATAAAATTTTGTAAATTATTATTTTTTCTCCTACACTGATGTGCGCTAATGAGGCTGCAATGATGAGCACTGATAGGCTGTACTGATGGGCACTGATAGGCAGCACTGATGAGGAGGCACTGGTAGGTGGCACTGATGGGCATTGACAGGCATCACTGGTGGGCATTCACAGACATCACTGATGGGCACTGAAAGGCAGTACTCATATATGGCACTGATAGGCGGCACTGATAGGCAGCACTGACTGGCACTGATAGGTGCCACTGACTGGCACTGTTAGGTGGCACTGACTGGAACTGTTAGGTGGCACTGATGGGCACATTTAGGTGGCACTGATGGGCACTGATAGGCACCACTGACTGGCACTGATAGGAGGCACTGATTGGCAGCTGTCATAGGTGGCACCGACTGGCACTGATAGGTGGCACTGATAGTTGGCACTGAAAGGCAGCTCAGATAGGCACTGATATGTGGCATTGATGTGCACTGGTAGGCACTGAGAGGTGGCATTGATGGGCACTGACAGGTGGCACTGATCGGGCTACACTGATCATCAGGGCACTGATCATCTGTGCCCTGATGATCAGTGTAGATGTCCCCTCTGAGGAATGCCGATTACCGCCTCTCCTCTCCTTACGAGCTGTTAGTGAGAGAAACTGCTGTCATTTCCTTACAGGGCAGGCAGGAGGCGGTTAATTAGCACCTTAATCAGCCACAGAACCTGTGTAATTAATATGTGTTTGGTTTTAAAGGGACGAGGTGGCAACCCTCGGGAAAACACGTATTTTATTTTTCATCATGCCAGTTGTTTATGATAAAAAGTGCTTTAGAAAGCTAAATGTCATTCAGATAGGGTTTACATCTACTTTATTACTAAAGGGTCAATACAGTCTGCATTCTAATCTTAGCAGATTGTACTATAAGACTGTAATACGTAAGGTCACTTCAAGACTGAATGAGGAAAATGTTGGCCCCAGAGCTTGCACTTCGTCCTGATGGCAGCAGTGCAGGGGAGGCAGGCAGTATCCAGCTATGACGTGAGTTCTACACACAATATACTATGAATTGGACAGGCTGGCACATGGAGAAGATAACATTTGCTGTGCCCAAGGGGGGGTGCAGGTTTCCTGCCTACACTGAGCAGACAGATGGGGAAAACAGGATCTGGAATCAGATATTTTCATGTCATCAAACAGGACTCATACAGCAATGAAGATAATGAATTAGTATAGAAGGAAGGTAAAGTAGACTCAAACCCAATCATTAAAGTCTCACATAATCTGTAACATGTTATTGTCTTTTAAAAAGTAATTTTGAATCTTCATAAATCTGCAGCATTGGTTAAAAGAATACCTGATGATCCTGCCATGAAGGTCTTTGTTTAGGTGCTTCCTTCTCCCAGTTGCACTCCTGCGTTGTCACGTTATTACATTACCTTAGATGGAGATTGCAAGCAGCCGTTTCCAAACACATTAAACAGACATGCTCTACTGTTGTCACCATCAGGAAACCCACCTTGGAAAATGCCAATCAACAATCTCTGGAGAAGTGGATGCAAAGGGGCTGCTGAAGATCAGCAACTCTGAATTGGAACAAAGTATGAAAGTACAAAGAAGTATTTTCTAAGAGAAACACAATAAACAAAATTTAGAACAGCAAGTATGTAATAAATGTTAAAAGCCAGTTCTAATACTAGTTGGTAACATTTACAATAATATTGCTAAGAGTGGTCTCACTTATAATACAAAATAGCTTCCCCTTTTTTTAAATCCTCATAGCACAGGTTTAATAAATGCTGTTAATCAAATTCAAGACTGCAAACAAAGAAAAACAGACTAGCTGGTTTATGGTTGGGCTGGGCAGATATCAATAAGGGTTTGGTTGCTTGGCTGTCCTCCCAGTTTTGGGTGAAGCCATGCAAGGACCATGTTATGGTTTCAGGCTGCTTAACTTCCAGGAGGATGTGGTTTATGAGACAACTGATCTGTGAGGGCTTGGTATGGAACATCGCATACAGATAGTCATACCTAGCTGTTAGTTGTTATTGGTTGTTGATGACAAGCTACAGTCAACAGGCGTTGGACGATCGGGTCTCCCCTTTCTTCAAGGCTTAGGCAGATATGAATCAGTTTTTAGTTGGTTGTCCACTCAGCTTCGGGTGCAGTCATCCAATGGTGATGACGTGCAGTGACCATGTTAAGGTCTTATGCCGCTTGACTCCTAACAGAACTGGTGGGGATGCAGTTCGTGAGACAATATATCTGTGAGAGCTTGGTGAGGACAACCTAATACAGATAGTCATACAGCTCGGTGATTAATTGTTATTGGTTGTTGATGAGGAGATGCCAGCTTGCTTTTGGAGATTGGGTTTTTATTATTATTATACAGGATTTATATATCGCCAACAGTTTGCTCAGCGCTTTACAATATAAAGGGAGACAATACAGCAACAATACAGTTCAATACAAAAGGGATAGGAGGGCCCTGCTCCTTGGAGCTTACAATCTAGGAGGGAGGGGCTAGTGGTACAACAGGTAGTAACTGTGGGGGATGGACTGGTTGGAAGAGTAGACTATTCCATTATTAGCTGAGGACAGGATAGGCTTCCCTGAAGAGATAGGTTTTCAGAGATCGCCTAAAACTCAGCGGCGATAGTCTGATAAATTGGGGTAGAGAGTTCCAGAGGATGGGGGAAGCTCTGGAGAAGTCCTGGAGACGAGCATGAGAGGAGGAGACAAGGGAGCTAGAGAGTAGGAGGTTTTGCGAGGAGTGGAGAGAACGGTTTGGATGATATTTAGAGACAAGATCGGTGATGTAATTAGGGGCAGAGTTATAAATGGCTTTATACGTTATTGTTAATGTTTTGAATTTTATCCGTTGGGCAATGGGAAGCCAGTGGAGGGATTGGCAGAGAGAGGTGGCAGATACAGAACGGTTAGTAAGGTGGATGAGTCTGGCAGCAGCATTCATGATAGACTGAAGAGGGGATAGCCTGTGGTGAGGTTGGCCAATGAGGAGGGAGTTACAATAGTCAAGGGGAGATATAACAAGGAAGTGAATAAGTTGCTTAGTGGTTTCCGAGGTTAGGAACGGTTGTATCTTGGAGATGTTGCGGAGGTGAAGTCTACAAGATTTGGATAGTGATTGGATTTGGAACTGAAAGGACAGATGGGAGTCTAGGATTACACCTAGTACCCTGGCATGAGGGGAGGGACTGATGATTGTGTTATTGATCTTGATGGAGAAGTCGGGGGGGGGGCACAGGCAGGGGGGAATACTAAGAGCTCAATTTTGGAAAGATTGAGTTTGAGGAAGTGGAGTGACATCCATGCCGATATGTCACTTAGTAGGTTAGTAATGCTAGAGGAGACTGAAGGGGTGAGGTGAGGGGTAGAAAGATAGATTTGTGTGTCATCAGCATAGAGATGGTTCTTAAAGCCATGGGAGTTTATCAAGTGACCAAGAGAGGAGGTGTAGATGGAGAAGAGAAGGGGTCCAAGGACAGAACCTTGAGGGACCCCTACATAAAGAGGGAGTGAAGAGGAGGAGGCAGCATTATAGGTAACGCTGAAGGAGAGCTGTGATAGGTAGGAGGAGAACCAAGAGAGAGCAGAGTGTCTGAGGCCAAGAGAGTGGAGTTTTTTGAGGAGGAAGAGATGGTCAACCGTATCAAAAGCCGCAGAGAGGTCAAGTAGTAAGAGTACGGAGTAGTGGCCATTGGGTTTTCCCCTTCCATATAGGGTTTGGTCTGATATTGATCAAGATTTGGTTGTTTGGTTGTCCTCCCAGCTTAGTGTTCAATGTTGGTGATGTGTAGTGACTGTGGTATGGCCTTAAGCCTTGTGCACACGATGGGAATATCAGACGAATGATCATCTGTTTTCTTTTTACATGCTAGTCTCATAAATTTATGAAAATTATTGCAAGACAGAATACAACTTCAGAATTGATGTAATGTATTGTATAATATAATACTGTACTTACTAAATGAAAATTGTTTGTTCTGGTATTGTATGAGAAACATTTTTGTGCTTGTTCCTTCAGATAATTTTGCATGAACTAAGGTGATCAGCTCTCGAAAGCTGTGTACTAATGATCAGATTATCGGATGATTGCTTTGAAAGTGGTATTTTACAACCCATTTTCTCATTGTGTGTGCACTAGGCTCTAGGCTGCACAACTACTCCTGAACCAGGTTAGATGTAGTTCATGAGACAATTGATCCGTGAATGCATGGTATGGAGTGCCTAATACAGATAGTCATTCAACTTGGCAAATAGTCTTTATTGGTTTTTGATGGCGAGATACTGCTAACACGCTTTGGGTATTGGGTCTTCCCTTCTTTCAGGCTTAGGCAGATATCGATCAAGGATCAATTGCTTGGTTTTCCACCCAGCTTGCAGTTAAGTTATGCAATGGTCGTGATGTGCAGTGATCATGTTATGGACTTAGGCTACATGACTACTTCAGAACCCATGTGGATGTAGTTCATGAAACAACTGAACTGAGAGTGCATGGTGTGGAGCTCCTAATACAGATAGTCATTCATCTTGGCAAATAGTCTTTATTGGTTGTTGATACTGAGATACTGCCAAAACACTTTGGGGGTTTGGGTCCCCCCCTTCTTCAAGGCTTTTTTGTCCACCCAGCTTGACATGCAACCATGCAATGGTGGTGACCATGGATATAATAAATATGCCAATTGTTCTGTGAGTGAGTGCTGTGTTGCAACTAATACAGATAGTCATACAACTTGGCAATGTGTTTAAAGTCTTTATTGGCTGTTCATGGTGAGATATAGCCAATATGCTAATGGGGATTGGGCTCCTCCTTCTTCAGGGCTTGGAAGTTGTCTTGTCAATTGACTAAACTGGATTCCGAGTTCAGTAATTTGTGTTCTGTGTGGCCTCCAGTGGCATCTTTCTGCAAACTGCCATATTGTCATTAGTGTCTCAGTTTCCTCGGAAATGTCTCCTCTGGCCCCTGATACAGAAAGCTCGCACAGTGAACAGAAAATGTTAATAGCAGTGCTGGAAACGCCAGCATAAAGCATAACTAATAAGCTGTTTCTCCTTCCCTCTCCTGTGTACAGTCTGTGTGCCGCGATAAAGTAGAAATGAGGCCTTTGGGGGTTTTCACTCGTGTATTGTGTCTACATTCTTCTCTTGCCTTCATTAGTGGCAAACTCTTTGTACCCAAATCTGTGCTGATTATTTTTGCCCTGTTCTTCACTGTCTGGGAACAATTACTGGCAATTTCGCTCTGGAATATTAAGATGTTTCTGGGCTATGAATGGATTCCAGGATAGAAAGAGTACGACAGTCTCAAGCTTGGCTGCAGAGGTTTCATTTTATTTGTCTCAGAAAGGAAAATCAAGAACAGTGGCGTAAAGGGACCTGTGTATCAATGATATTACGGTGAATTCTGTTAAATGCTCAACTCTGTTCCAATGATAAAAAATGTGCATGCTATGTTATCAACCAGGGGCGGACTGACCATTTGGAAACTCGGGCACTGCCCGAGGGCCCGGGGTCAGTATGGGGCCCCATGAGATTCCCCTGGTACCTTTTTCATAGGCTTTTTTGAGTTTGGGCAAGGACACAGGGGCCCCATGATCCCCTATTGCCCGGGGGCCCCATGAGTTGTCAGTCCACCCCTGTTATCAACTTAAACTTGTAATAAGACACACTATTTGGTCTATGGACACCTGACTATCACATCTTTAGCAGCTTGTTGGACAATCCATTTCAAACCCATGGGCACTAATATGTAG